AGAGGGTACGAAGAAAGCAAGATCATGGAATGGTGCTTTTTATGTATGAATTATCTCAATTTGCTACCATTTGTACATCATGTTTTTTGCATCTTTTAACAATTAATGGTAATTCCTTGTTCATTAGGAAGTAAATAAAGCTATCCAATTTTTTTTTTGTTTTGTTTGATAAGAATTCAATTTTAAAGTTTTCTCGATAGCCAACTGTATTCGTACAATGAATGAAATTATCATTACGCTACATTTTTTCCACAGAAGTGTGACCACACTGCAAGTTATTTGTGTGTAGTACACTTTACCGTGGGGCTGGTGAATTGCATTCACATCATACTTTAAAAACGCACGCGCCAGATGACTGCATTGCCGCAGCTGACCCAGAAATTCACGCTCTCTTGTCCACAGGAGTTTGCGTTTTCAAGATGCAAGCATCAAAAAGAAGTTTTTTAATCTGATTTCTTAATTCCTTATTCATGTTTAGTTACGAGATGTCCAAACATCGAACTCGTCCGCCCTGCATGGGAATTCACAGACGCACCCGTTGTAATGTAGTGGATAACTCCGCACTAGGCAAGGAAGCTCATATGTCCGGAAAGCGAGCGTATTGCATTGATGTGTACAAGCAAGGACGGCGGAAGAAGCACCTACCGCATGCTACTCTTGGCGATAAGGTTGGCTCGAGTCTTGATCTTGTCCTAGATACGGTGCACGTACACCCATATCATTTGAAGTAAAGGATTTGATAGTCAAAAGATGAATAGCCACCATCAACTAGTATTGTCTCCTGGTTACGAATAGTGCATAATACAACGTACACTGAAACATTCCTAATCTCGTTTGATCGGTTTAAAAATAAGTAAACGTTAATATTGCGGAATTGCGGCGGCGTGTACACCAGCTCCCATATGGACATCAATAGTCACAGTTGCAAGGCCGCGTACTCGCGCCGCCGCAATGTCTAAGCTGTGAATGTTGTTTCATTCTGAAATCGACTATATAGGGCATTACTGATGATTTCTTTCCAGATCCTTGTTGCTATCCGCGGTCAGATGCGAAAGGCATATGTTGTCGGCGCGAATACTCACGTTCATTTGCGAAAACATGGTATACCAGTTACGG